TGAAATTTGAACTCTTCCCACCTTGCCTTCTGGAAATTCCATCTTGGCAAGGGGAGTGAATTTATAATAGGGATGGTGGTGCCTACGGTTGTAATTATTGGTCTATGTTGGGATTTAGGAAAGTTATCGAGAACCTCACTTGTGGCGTTCTTAAAGTCATTTTTTGAGCCCGTTCTGTTGGTAGATATAAACGTGAGATCGGGGTTGTAGCCCCTTTGCCATATTGCAGAATGGAAGGTGGGTTTCTGTTTTGCATCATATAAAAGTCTCAGATGGTAAACCTCGGCCCATTTAGCGATTTATTCTCCTTGCTGGTTTCCTTGGTTATATCCCCATGTAGTATGGTGGCTGTTAAAGTCTCCAGTGTATATTGTCGGGTGAGAAAATGTGGGAAGTACGTTTAGTGACCATCCAGCATTTGGTGGTTTGTATATATTGACTATTGTTATGTCTCTTCTTTCACAGCGAGTATAAAAATCTCTTGTGTCGAGTAAGAGTGACATGTGCTGTAATGTTTGATGTCTGCTTTACAATAAGTCGCGATACCATACTGAGCGTGGTTGAGTGAAGCTATTAGTGTGTATCCAGGAATTTGGCCTCGGTGTTTTAATTGTGTGTCGTCTGCAGTATGTGTTTCTTGTACGGTAACCACGTCAATCTTATTTTTTACCTGGAGCTCACCAAGATACTCGCTCTTGCTTCGGCTGATACCTTCAATGTTCAATTGGCATACTCGAACCGTTTGTCCGATTGTCAACTGGCTCTGACAAGAGCCGTCAATTGATCGTTTTGTGTTATGTATTGCAATGTGCTCGCCAGGAGATCTACGAGAGACAGGTCTGGCGGTTCTATTGTTGCTAGTTCATTTAGCGTTACCCAGGGTGCACGTGTAGTATTCTACTACGGACGCGAACTAGCTTTACACCCCAATTTATACTTTACACCTGTATTTTTAAATATACGATCACGTCGTTCATTTCTGAGTTTCTCTAATTGTACATTATCTGCAAACTGAATATCTGCGCAACCTTCTTACGCATTGAATGTTTGTGGCATTATCTTAGCAATAATATATTTTTTCTTGAAAAACCGAATGATTATTACAGTTGGCTAAAAGCTTGAAGGTATGAACTTTTTGGGGTTTGTAACTTAATTTTTCTCTCATAAAAAGGTTTACTGTGACTCATAGAATAGTTGTTCAATCGTTGAAGGTACTTGAATATGTAGCGTCAATATACATACATATATATATATATATATATATATATATATATATATTATATATATATATATATATATATATATATAATTTATGATAATTTATGATAATTTACATTCGTTGAGTTGCGCCGAATGTAGGCAACTTACAGTTGTTGATTCAGAAAATTGTTAGACATTCAGTACTTAAGCCGCCATTAGACATTCATCTGAAATCAAATGCAATATGAAACATTTAAAAAAGAAGTATACGTGATTTTAACAGACATTATGGCGAAACGGTTCCATTTAATATTAAGATTAAGACTTCAAGTGCAAAATGGTCTATGGGCGCAAATAATTTCCAAACATTTGCTGAATATTAGAAACAGTAAAATAAAACTGCATCCATGTACACAATGCAGCAGACTTCTAGATAATTTCTGCACTTTTGTTGAGACTAAACATGAATTAATTGTAAGTGTCTTTCCGGCTATACTGAATAATTACTTGAATCATAATTGTCTCATTGAGTGCTCAATTGTAGCGGCGAAAAAATGTTGATGTTAACGAAATGAACTTTCAGATTCAACAGTTGTTACCAGGAGATTTAATATCTTTTAAATCAGTTGACAGTATTGGTAATGAAAACGTAGCCGTAAATTACTTAAAAGAATTTTTAAATACTCTGGATATACCGGGTGTGTCATCACAGATTTCATGATATTTACTTAATTCTGTTAAATGAATTAAACATAATATTAGTCGTGTAATAACCAAGACAATCAAGTAACATTTTTTGAGCCATTGCTCATTTTGGATGGTATGTTTCCCACCAAATAACAGTGATAAATCAATATAAAAAATTGCTTTGAATTCATTGTTTTTAAAAATCACAAAAGTGACATTATTTCACGCACTGTGACAGTAATAATCCGAAAATAGACATATCATACAAATAGACCGACTGTTGCAATACAGGCCCGTTTCCTCAATGCGACAGAGCAAACTGACGCAAAGCAGTCTCTGTATATCTTTTTTATGTGCCGGGTTTTTCGATCATGTGATCTAAATGGATAATGGAAAGATCACGTGTCGATAAACTCGGTCCATAAGAAAGAGAGTTGAGTGCTTTGCATCAGTTTTCTCTGTTGCATTGAAAAACGGACCTGTATTGTCACACTCTTCCCTTTCTTGACTGGCTTTACAACTCGGAGTGAGTCTTCTCCGCATCCACTTTAGCCCTCCATATTCTACGATCTTGTTCTTTTATTTCCCATGGTTGTACCCCAATCCTAGATAAATTAGCTTTAACATTACCCTTTCATCTTTTTCTGGATTGGCCTACTGATCTTCTACCGTCTGGTCTCTCAAAAAACACTGTCTTTAGCACTTTATCTTCCTCTGATTTTACCACATGACCTGCCTATCTTATCCAGTTAACTTTTGTATGTCTGGCGATGTTTTTAGTACCATAGAGGGTCATCAATTCATCATTGTGGTGCCTTCTTCACTCTCTCATCAATTCATCTGTTTGGAGTCCAAATATCATTCTAAGAACCTTTCTTTCAAATACCAGCAGCTTATTTTTATCCCTCTGATGTAGGATCCATGTTTCACTTCCATATGTAACAACTAGGCGAATAATTGACTTGTACATTCTTAATTCAGATTTTCTTTTGGTAGCTTCTTCTTCTTACGGTGGCTATCCGTTCCGGATGTTGGCGATCAACATGGCTATCCTAACTTTGATTGCTGCTATTCTGAATAGTCCGGTTGTTGATGTATTAAACCAGTTTTTTAGGTTTTGAAGCCAAGATATTCTTCTTCTCCCTGGTCCTCTCGTTCCAAATACCTTGCCCTGAAGAATGAGTTGCAACAAGCCGTATCTCTGTTCATTCCTCATAACATGGCCAAGATATATAGTTTGCGCTCTTTGATGGTGTTAATAATCTGGTAATAATTAATTTGGTAGCTAAAATTTTAATAATAATAATAAGGATTACTTCTCTCTCACGTTTTTTGTAGAATGAGCGACTGCATCTAGATCATCAGCAAAGGCCAACAATAGTTTTGATCCTCGATTCGCAAATCATTCTATCAGTTAAAAGATATTTTACTTACTGTATATTATAAGGCTAAATTTAATTGCAACGGTGATAAGCTGTCTCATTGTCTAAGTAAATATGTTATACTAAATGGCATCGAGGTTCTATTTACTATCTTTACCTGTGTATATGAGTCTGTCACACACATTTGAGCTAGCTCCACGAATTTTCTTGATATTCCCATTTCTAACATTGCTAGCCATCGTCTACTTCTTTTTATCGAATCATATGCTTGCTGGAAATCTACGAAAATTTGGTGTTCATCTTGGTTGAATTCCCAGTTTTTTTTTCTAATATTTGTCGGATCGTAAATATTTGATCTATTGTTGACCTTCCAGTACGAAAGCCGCATTGGTAGTTGCCTAGAATATCTTCTGAATACGGAATGAGCCGCCATAGCAAGATAGTTTTCTATGTAAAACCTATTTGTATTATATGTGTATAAATCCGAATGACAGTTCTTCGTCTTCTTCTTCTTTTTGGTTTTTATTCTACTGAATAATCAACCAGTACATTTGTTTTTCGACTGACAGTATGCTTTTGAAGGTTATAACTACCGGAATGTTATATGGATAATTTTTCGACTGTTCTAACAACCATTCAAATTTCGTCATTTTGTGTCATGTTGAACAATTTCACCCAATCATGTCAACATTAGACTGATAATTGGTTTCAGTGCAATTTTCAATCCCTATGACAACACGATCGAGTTTGACAACTTCATCCAAATAAATTTCAAAATGTCACGTTTCTATAAAACCATACTAGAATCTCGATCAAGAATACCACAACAAGATTATAAATATTATGCGTGGTAATAGATCTTCTATAGTAAAGAACAGCAACGAATCTAATGTTAACTTAATAATTGTACTTTCACTAACTGTACTTTTAATAAATAAATGTTTCGTTATGTTGAGTTATGATTTTTTTTTTCGAAAAATTATCCGCCGAATATCCCTCGGGCATTAATGAATGCCTCATAATTTCATGACAAATTTCTCAAGCTCGTTGCTTGGTATCAAGGAACGAGCTTTAGATTGTCATAAAATTATCTCGTCTGTTATCAATGTCCTAGGGATATTACTACTGAAAATTCCTTAGACAAGGAACTTGTCTAAGGAAAATTCATTAGAATTCCTATATTATGGTTAGGCCCGCGACTTGACCGACGTGTTATGGCGTTATTTTTTTTTTAACCCTGTAGAACTTTGGCTTGTTGAATAAAAATTGTTTTGCGGGCTCTTGGAAATATTTTTATCTTAATAAAAGACCAAATGTCAAGTCATTCATCAAAGTACTCATTTTTAGAATTATTCTTGAACTTTTTTCTCAGACCATCTGTTGATAATTTCGAGTACATTTCAATATACTTTTCGGTTAGAAAAATATAAACAATCAAAGTGTGACGTAAATAAGACCTATAAGGACAATAAAAGCGTGCCAACTAATTTAAACCAAATAAAATATAATTAGAGTGATAGCGGTGAATTAACCTTGACATATTATACAATAACAAACCAAAGATATAAGTATTAATTACCACTAATATAACTTAAGCTACTATCGCATTATTTGAGTAATAATTTATCTACATCAATATACATTTTTAACATACCATTCGATAGATTTCAACAAATATTTAACAATTCTTATTTAGGTGCAGGAGTCTGCATTTATCCTTGTTGTGGCACAATGGAAAGATTATTGTTATGTTTTATCATTTTACCTATTATATTTATTGGTGGCTCATGCAAAGTAAGTATTACATTATTTCAAATGATTTATATTTCGGAAAATATTTTCTTAGCGCATTTAGTTTAAATTTATATATATATATATATATATATATATATATATATATATATATATATATATATATATATATATATATGTATATATATATATATATATATATATATATTTATATATATATATATATATATATATACCTTTACTTTTAACTATATCATGTAGGGCCTATTATGAATAATACAAGGTGAAATTTTAAAATTAGGTATTTTCTTCAAGACAATGAATTCATAGAATACCCGAGGTAGTTGATTGGATTACATTAAGATAAATGCTCAACACGTTCTCCACCTTGCTGTTGGCAATAACACAGTCTTCTATAAAACTCGTTCCGAACTTTGTTTAAAGTTTGAGGTGAAATATTCCGTATTTCTGTAGTTATGCTTACTTTTTGAGGTCTTCAATGATAGTTGATTGTGTTGCATATACTTTGTTCTTGAGATAACGACACAAAAAATTAAAAGGCGTAAGATCTGGCGACCTAGCTGGCCGCTCACTAGTTCCCCCTTCATCAAATCCACTTATTAAAGAAGATTTCATTCAAGTAATTTCTCACCATTAAAGCATAATGGGGTGTTGCACCGTCCTGCTGGAACCAGACAGTTTCATGCGGTAGGGTCGGATCTATTGGATTGGGATATAAGTTAGCCAACTAAGGAAGAACATCGTCTCTTAGCATGTTTAAATATTTTCCCGCTGTCAAATTATCATCTATAAATATAGGACCAATAATATCATCTCCTATAATTACCTGCCCAAACATTCAACTTTTGAGAATACTGAGTGTGTGTCACACGCATCCAATGTAGATTCTCCGCTGACCAATATCTACATTTTTTTTTCAGTTTACCTCTCCGTTCAATGTAAATTTTGATTCATCCGAAAAAAGAATTGTGCCAAGAGCTATTTCATTTGTTAATTTTATCCCTCATTCTTTTGCAGAAATCCATTCTACGATCCGGATCGTCTTCTGTTAGCTCCTGCACAAATGTCAATTTATATGGATGAAGTTTTCTTCATGGAGACACCTTAGAACAGTAGTCTGACTCACATTATTTTGACGTGCAATTTGACGTGAACTTGGCGTTGGATTCTCTGCGACACTTAACAAAATATCCACTTTCACTTCATCTTCAATGAAGTTCGATTTTCTTTTTAATGGTTTGACATATCCAAGTTTTCTGAATTGTGCATAAATTTTAGACACAGTACCTTGTGAAATATTAGGCAACTGAGGATACCTGTGATTAAATAAGTTTGCTTCTTCAACTTGACTTCTACAATTCTCCACGTAACCGATCATAATTAAAATCTTAATTCGGTGGGCCTTAGTTAAATATTTCATTTTTATTTCTGTAAGAAATTAGTTTTTAATTAAGAATTTATTATTTTAATCTAAAATGTCAACAGCATGTCAACTGATTGATAACAATCCGCATTATTTACCGATTTAGTTTAATTAGCAGACTATATAGTTTTTACCTATTCACGACAAAAAATGTTAACACGGTTACTAAACAGAAATTTTCCCCAATATACAGTGTACTGACACTTAGAGTAAAAGTTTATTGTCTGTATTTAGCTAATTTAAAATAATACCATAACATGTGATAAATTATTAATTTCAAAATTTCACCTTGTATTTTTCATTATAGACCCTACATGATACAAAGTATTTTAAAAACATAAAAATATACAGGGTGTTTCATTAAAAATAAGGATTATGAACTATGCCAGACTTGCGTGGATCACCCTGTACATTAAAACATATGTTTAAAAAGCGCACATTTAAATTTAAAAGTTACGTGTCCCAGAGTTTTTGATTACTTTTTTATAATCACAAACAATTGTGTATATAAGGACACAAACAATTTTATTCCATAAATGGTTTCCACACTATATATATATATATATATATATATATATATATATATATATATATATACAATATATATATATATATATATATATATATATATTTATTAATATATATATATATATATATATATAATATATATATATTTATTTATATATATATATATATATATAATATATATATATATATATTATATATATATATATAATATATATATAGAGTAAAAGCACCAATAAATGAACATGTAAAGATCAGGTAGACAACTTTTATATTTTTATAATAACATACACATATTTCAGTGGTCTTTGTGGAAGTTTCTACACTGAAATCATGAAATTATTACATACTAATTGCCAAATATGTCTTTATTATACTCTTTTTAAGGTACTGTACAAAAAATTTACCAGTAAATGAACAGCAGAATCTAATGAATAAACAATACATATCCAGTAAATGAACACAACTTGTAGACACATATTGTGGGTATTATTTTTTATTATTGAGTTAATGCCTCGACAAGTAAGATCATTAGCATGGTACAGTCAGGTACCTAGTGTAGTTTGTGTGTATGTGTGTGTGTGTGTGTGTGTGTGTGTGTGGTGTGTGTGTGTGTGTGTGTGTTGTGTGTGTGTGTGTGTGTGTGTGTGTGTGTGGTGTGTAGGTGTGTGTGTGTGTGTAGAGTAATTGTCTTGATACTTAGCAAAGTCGACGTCATTGTCTTTGCTAAGAGACGCTAATTGTATCCGAACGTCTGTGGTCCCTCCGGTGAGTACCGATCGCACAAGGATAAAAATTATTTTTATTTATTAATTTTTAATAAACGAAAATTTCTCCACCCAGATGAGATTCGAACTCACGACCTTTAGGTTTAAAGGTAGCCGCTCTTACCACTGAGCCACAGAGGGGGTAATTGTGGGTATTATATATTTATGTATTTTATGAAATTTGTAATCTGTTTTATGTAATATAATTTGAACAAAATGTTTTCTGAGGAACACCATATTTGATCTGCAGTTTGGGGCCATTTCCACAATTTTCCACTGGAAGTTTAGACCACTGTAGTTACTTTATAGTCACTACTATATTTATAATTTTTCCTGGAAAATGTTAACCATCATATTTTACATACCAAAACCACCTATTTCAAACATCATTTGTTTGTTATCAGGCACATTATGGTTGTCTACACCAGGCAGAATTACTTCTTCTTCACTTACTAATTCCGTATGGATATTTTGTTTATTTAATACCCTTTTCTTCTTAACTCGATCAAGCTTGTTGTTTTTCTTTCCTTTTAATTTTTGTTTCCGTTCTTCACTACTCGCCTTAATTTCTTGTAATTTACACGTTTTATCCATATCTTTGTTACCATAATAGTTTTTCCATTCCTTAGATATCATTGCGAAAGGCATTGCTGTTTTTAATTTGATTATATGTCGAGTTTTTCCACACTTGGCCAATGTAGATGTTTCTTCCATATTTCATTTTTACCTCGAACAATATTTTTAATCCCTTATTTTATAAAAATAAAATTTTATTTTCAGTCAATCTTCAACAATTTTTGGTATTTCCTCCTTTTGATTATTTATATATTTTTTTTAAATATATTTACGGGCTCCCTTCTAACACAGTTTAACTTTATATCAGATAAAATATTTATGCGTATACCTCTAATATACTTTTCATCTTTTTGGCTACCTATCAGTAATTATTATTAGCTTTATCAGTATCATCGGCAGTCTTTTTTTTCTCGTCATTTACCCTACTTTCACCAACCATATTTTCATGAGTTCTAGATTCTGCAGCTTTATTTGAAATTAATCTTATATCTTCTTTTCCATCTTCAGTCGAATAAGTCCAGCTTTCTGATTTGCTTTCATACAAAGTCTTGAGACTGAATATATTTAAATTCGGTAGTTTCCTCACCTAGAGCTATTTTGCTAAACTCAGATTCATTGCATTGAACTTCTTTATTTTCTATTTCACTATCCTGCGCTTGAATTATGCTAGTGTATTGTGAATTGATAGCAATAAATTCTGTTACTTCTTTTATTCCAATAACATTGTTTGTACCAAAATAGATAATGTGATTGAATTGGATAGGCAACTGGTCCATAACTGATTCCGTTAAATCGAGTAAGGGTTCAGTATTATTTAAGACATTGTTTCCTATTTTAGTTATGCAAAATCTCTCTACAGTGCGAATGTCACTTGTTTCATCGTTACATTGATCATTAAAAAAGGATTTTAAAACTTTATGGGTGCTACTGAAATCCTGATTGGTTCCTCCGCTGGTTCTAATTCATTAGTGTTTATGTCTCGTTTGTAAAGATTTCGTTTCTTCTGAATGATATAAGTTTGGTGTAGTCGACGGGCGTTGGGGTCTAACGGATATAAACCGCAGTGTCTGAAGCCATTCCTTATTATTTCTGCATTTTATTGATTGTTCAAATGCTCTTTGAAACAATGTGGCAAATGTGACTTTTGTAACATATTTGTTAGTGGCTGGCTTATGTTCTTGTGTAATTCTTTTCCAAGCAGTTTTATCCAGGGATAAAAACAATTTGCGATGTATTAATAAAATGACACCATCCAGTCAGAATCAGATTTACCTATGAAGAAATTACTAGGCATAGACATAGCCACATCTCTCGGAAGTCATTTATATGGTACAATTGCTAGTGGAGGGACTGAAACTCCGGATGCTGAAAAATTTCAAAGCACTGTAATACTCTCCTTTTCAGAGCCACTACTTAGTTGTAGAAATCTTTGAAACCCTTTGGTCCTAAGTGCTTGCCTGTCTTAGGACAAAACTGTACGCCGTGCTTTTAAAATAATTTCAGTATTTCGTTTCGCAACTACTTTTTTCCTGGTTTACTGTCAGTAAAACTAGTGATTCTGTTACAGTCTCTTAAAATAAACTTGACTGCATTTTGTACCTTTTCCAGGTAAAACCAAATTTCGCTTTTGCAATTATCTAGTCCTCTAGTCTTTTTTTCTCGTCTTCCGTAAGTGTAGCTTTGGGTCCCATTTTACGAATTAGTGGAGTAATACCTCTTATTTTATTATTCGTTGTTATTCAAAGTTGCTTTTGGTATTCCAAATTTTATAGAAGCTACGTTTTGGGACAAAGTACCTGTTCTAATTTCATTAGGAGCGAGTTGTAACTGATTTTCTGAATATCTAAATCTTTGGTAAGGCTTCTTTGCGGATGACTTTGTTGGTGTTATTAAACTTTTACTTAAAGCCCTGTTTCGTAGTTTATTATGTAGGGTAGCTTTAGGAATACTGTAATTCTTGGCTGCTCCATTTTGGCCAAGACTACCACTTCGAACTTCTTTAATAGCGGAGATTAACTGGTCCTCAGAATATTTTCGTTTGCCCATCTATGGAAAAAAATCAAATTAGGCAGAAAAAACAGTAAATACCAGTTGTTCATTTACTGGGACAAGTTTGAAATCCATGGCATGGATACGAATGTTAGATGTATTATAGAGATATACAGTATCATTCAAGGGTAACCACTCGATATTTCGGAACACTTGATGCAATATTTAAAATTGAGGAGAGTCCTAGTAAATGAACAACCGTTCATAAAAATATTAAGCTCTATTGAATGAACATACAAAAATACGTTAAACTAACCAACAAAATGTAGCTACCTGATTAACAATTGCAAATTTACACGACCTACAACTACTAAACACTATAATAGATGCACTTTTAACAATAGCAATAACTAAAATCTACAAAAATTTTACAGTGGTTTGTAGTAAGTACCTTATTAGCCAGTGTTCACATCACGTCGTTCAGTATGCACAGTAACAATCCGTACATTATTGTTTCTAATAATCACGTGCCAGTTATAAGCCAATCAATGTACGTTATAGTAAAACCCTCATAATGGGGGGTCCTTAATAAGTAATCGTACAAAAAGAAACAGTAGATTCTACACTTTAAAATATTACGATTTAATTTAATTTAATTGCTAATAATTTAAATTGCTTTAATAAAATGTTGATACATATTAAGAAAGATACAGGGTGTTAAAGTGCAAATTTAAAATTTTATTTTTTGCGATAACCTTCATGTTTATAAACATTTATGTATAAAAATTTACAGCTGGGTACTTTTAAATATGAGAAATTATAATTTGATGCACACTTTAATGTAGCTGACATATGTAGCATATATTTGCACTTAACTTTTTTGCTCTTTACGTTACCTGTATTTATGATAAAAAATATTAAAGATACATTACTATAACAAAAAAAAGATATACTTTTTAATAACTTCGAAACTCAACAGTTTTCGAGATAATCGCATTTTACATATCAGCTGCATAATTCTGATTACAGCATCGACTCCACGCAACGGAAGAAAAATTGACAAAAACATTAATACTTCTGAATTTTGGTATAAAATGCCTTTAACTAAAGTTAATAGTTAACGAAATATTAAATAAAATAAATATATCAACAGGATAATTAATAATAGTATTTGACAAATAACAGAATATTACATTAAACATTTTACGTTTTATGTTAAATTAAAGTCATAATCAAAACATTTATTTGTTTTATCTATTTCTTAAAAACCAAATTAAGAAATAGATAAAACAAATAACATAACTTTTTGTCAAAGCAAGTGGTCGATATGTTTACCATTTTCTTTAATTCATTTGTCAATATATTTCATAAAAGATCGTCTCATATTAAATAGCATCTTTGTTTTCAAAGAAACAGCGCCAGTATGTATTTCTATGTATTCCCCATAGTTTGTGGCGAATGTTTATGGGATTCTTATAGACACGTTGTTTTAATGCACCTCACACACCAAAATTAAGCGGATTAAATTCAGGGCTACGTGGTGGCTATAATATATCATGGACGAATATGCTATTGGATACGTATTCAAATTTTATGGTATATTGTGGAATTATATCTTATTTATCGCAGAGGTCAAATAATGTATTAAACTGTGATGTATCATGTTCATTGATTACTTATATACACACGGAATAACACGAAATAACCTATCGATGACATATTTATATGATTACGTTACAGCTTACAAGTAACTATAATTACATCTCGAAAAAATGGACTATTATGATTTACTAACGAACTAATATTATGCTGAACTAAATTGTCTGTGTGTTTACTATATTTACAACAATTTTGGTTATTAGGCCAGCGATGATATTTTTGTAAAAATACTGAGTCTTTAAGATTGGATTTGTAGCAAAAGTATTATGAAACAAAACATATGTGTTATTTAATACTTGTGCTCTAGTTTCTAATTATCCTAATAACATTGGTAATAATGGGTAAATAATTTTCGTAATGAATAAGTATTGTTTTGGGATTTTTTATGAATTGAATAATTATATCAATATCTTACCACATTGCCAAGGAATATGACTACCACGACCAATCCAACATTCGAAAAAGTTTTATTTAACTATGTTCTCACTGCCTTCTCTCTAGAATGTGGTGGTGTACCATCTTTCATAAACCACATATTTTGGGTTTTCAGCATTTTACAATAGAGAAAAAGTAATACAAAGCCAGTATAGAAACTTAAGAAGCGATAGAAAAGGAAAATTGTAGACATGATGACGACCAACGTCTGAATACACGGCACCTAAGGAAGAAGATAAAGAATATTTTCTCCAATAAGACATTTAGCAGCCGTAACAAAGCATTTTGTGATGTTACCAAAGATTGTCATCTTTAAATTGTTTTAATAACAATAAACTATGAATTATGTTGATCTACAGATATTCAGTGCTTTATCGCACAAATATCACAACTAAGAATTATTATACAGCTGACTTATAAAATGCAATTAACTCGAAAACGGTTAAATTTTGAGGTTACTAATAAGTATACCTTTTCTTTGTAAAAATAATGTATCGTTAATATTTTTTAACACAAATAGAGCTATCTTAAAAGGTAAAAAAGTTAAGCGCAAATTTATGCCCCACATGTGGCATATGTGGCGCTCCCATCAGTTACATTAAAGTATGTATGAAAGTTTAATTTATCCTACTTAAAAGTATCCAATTGTAAATTTTTGTCTAAAAATATTTACAAACATAAAAGTTATAGCAAAAAAAAATGAAATTTCCACTTTAACACCCTGTATCTTTCTTAATATCAATATTTTATTAAAGAAAGTTGACTTAAATCGTAATATTTTAAAGTGCGGAATCTATAGTTTCTGTTTGTACAATTACCCAAGGACCACCCTGTATATACAGTATCCATAAAGCATATTTTAACATACATATTCCAAATTTTAAGAATTTGATATTTCTGTGTTTATGTTTATTCATTGGTGCGTGTCTATTTATGTACCTTTACCCCATATGGATTATAGAAAATACGTAAAAGACGTAGTTTATTAAATTTATTGAATGTATTATTTAAGTTTAACTAAAATTCACAACAAATGTTCAAAACTGCAACAGAAAATAACCACTGAAATAATCAATTTATTTTCTTTTTACACAAAATATGTCAAATTAATTAATTTTACTCTAATAACTTAATTAATAAAAATACGCTTTAGCTAAGATTTTAATGCGCACTTTTTTAGGAGAAGCCCGTAATTAAACTTTCAGATGGAAGTATACAGGGTATACGAGAAACTTCTGATAGTGGAAAATCATACTACGCCTTTAGATGAAATTCCCTATGCTGAACCACCAATTCGGAAAATTGAGATTTTCGGTAAGCAATCTGATCAAGGCATATATATATAGTATATAGTTATATATATATAGTTTATATATATATACTATATAATATATATATATATATTAATATATATCAGGTAGACTGGTTCTACATAAGGGACTATTGTCAATTTATAGACTTGTTTGGGGCCATAAGTGCCAAATATTTGTGTTCTTTCAAATCATAACAACACTGTGTAATAAAGGGCCGGCCAATGTCTAAGATAGAGTAACATCAGACTATAACCAGCATTACTTTGTGCCAAATGTCAATCTACTCATCAAACACTAATTTTTTTAAAGCAAAAAGTGACCTATGTAGACATTCAGTCTCATGCTTCTAAAAATTTTCTATTTCTATACAGGCCAATGTTCACATTGGCCCTTTATTTAAACAAAACCTTCTTCGATTTGATTTGACACTGACCTCTTATTTCTAGGTTAGGTTTCTGTCTATATCCACACATTATCTGTGAGGTGCAAAAAAGTAGTACCTAAATCTTTAGTATTAAATAACGACAGTGCCTCTGAGAGCCTCATGAGTGTGTGGTTTAAAAATATATAAAAGTGTTGGTGTGCAATTTATACCGTGGAACAGGAAACTTTGTTAACTTGTGTTAAGTTAGACAATTATGGAAGCAACTAAACTAGCCGGGTAAGTAAATAGGTTAACTTTATTTTAAAAATTGGTAATATTACAAGATTTAGATTGTAAGGTGACGAAATGGATAACTACGTATAAAAATTGTAATACTCAAAAAAATGTACCATGTAGGTACAAATTTCAGTGACTAGGGCCGACTGTATGAATATTAGTAAGCTTATGCTAAGACCTTTTCAGTCCTATAACTCATTATTTTCAAATCTCTTAGTGCACTTTAATAAACATTTTTTATTTTAAATATTTAGATACATGTGCCGCTGCCTCCTAAGACAGGATGATTCGACTGGTTTTACAAGAAAACTAATGATCCTGGACTATGCCATTTCGCCAGGTAGATTAAACCAATAGTTCAATAGTTCTTTGTTTCAGATAATGAATTTTTTGCTCCCTCTTTGTGTTCAGAACAATTAAATTCACAAGTATATACCAACTGAACAATCATCATCGAAAAATACAATAAAGAATAAACTGAGGTCTGACATCTTCTGTGATATATAAAGAAGAAGATGATACCATCAGGAACGATTTAAGACTTTGTGATGGATAGTTCAAGTGATTGAATTTGTGAACCTTATTGATAGGTGACTCTATACTGACTCGGACAACTCCGGAACTCTAGTTACAAATAACAATAAGATCAATCATATTACTGCAGAATCAGACCAAACTCGTGGACTGTCTGGAATGAGAAACTTCTTATAGAAGAGGAAGAAAAAAAAGTTCTGGACGGAGAAACAAAATTAGCAAAAGGAAGCGTAATCCAAATAATTTGGGAAAAGAAATTAAAAGGAAGAGAACTTAAAAAAAAAACACTTGGAAGAAGAATATGTTACATTTCAAAGTAAAAAGAGATTTTTCAGAGAAATCATTAAAAAAATCCCATGTTCAATGCCGAAAAGAAATGTTTTGATAGAAAATTATCAAATGAAGGAAAGGGGCAGGACCATGTGTTTAGTGAATTTTATCATCGTTGCTTGGGATAGCATCAAAAGCCAGGTTTATTGCCAGGTCACATTCAAGAAAGGAGAGAGGCAGTACAAAGAACTAAGTGGCCGTAATGAACACTAGTAGAAGATAGTTTATAGCAGCCAATATTACTTAGGTTAGATTGTAACTCAGAGAGAAATTGAGGTTTGCCATGTTTTTGTTTTTGATTAACGTTTAGATAGTATACCTTTAAAAAAAGTTCGGGTAATAATGAACACAAAAGCGTTGCCTCAACATCAAATATTTGCTCAAGCGATGGTCGTCGGAAAACCTACGAACCATCCAAAAATAAAGGAAGGAGGGAAGGAAGAAAGATGTAAGACGATGCAACCGGATTCTGATGTTTCCTTCGTTTGAAAGGTCACTATTACGCTCGAGAGGAAAACTGGCAAAGAATATATTTGCTCTACCCGATCTTATCTATTTCAAAAATTGTATAGGCTATCATTGTGTAGTATTGTCCAAGAAAACAACAATATCACCTAGTAAACGAATCACTGTAACAGGACAAATTTTCGTGGAAGATTTTATACTTGTGTTTTAAAAAAACCGTAATAATGATACGTGGTGACTACTTGCGGATAAAGTTTTCTTTACTCCTTAAATCCGTTTACTGATGAAAAATGAAAGAGCCCAACTTGAAAGTGAAAAATTACAATATCAACACTTAGCAGAGTTTGCTTATGAAGAGAAAAAGAAAGATAGACTGGCTTGCAAACTTAATCCAAATTTGGTGGTATTCAGTTTTGACCTACAAAAATTTTTGCCCACTCCCTACTTAAAAAGCAGCATTTCATTCTATAAAAGAAAATTATGGACTCTGAACCTTACCATTTTTGAGACGCAAGGAACTACAAACTCAGCTAAATGCTACCTATGGAATGAAACTATAGCTCAAAGAGGTGGACAAGAAATTGATTCCTGTCTATACACCTACCTAAATAGTATTCCCTCTCATATAAATAAAATCATTATGTATAGCGACTGCTGCCCTGGGCAAAATCGAAATATTTTACTATCAGTTATGCTTCTTACCGTTATTGAACATTCCAAACACCAAGGAAGGAAGATTGATATTTATCACAAATTTCTAGTACCCGGACACACTCACATGGAAGCAGACACTATACATGCTGCAATAGAAAAAACTAAAAATTCTACTACTGCCAGGATAGATATTCCTAGAGACTGGGCTAACCTTATTCGTCTAATACCCAGAAAACCACCAATTTTTGTTCAAGAAATGAAGCAAGAAGAATTTCTTTGTTTTAAATCATTATTATCTGGCAAATTTCAGCATGCAAAAACCAATACTCAAGGACAACCAGTGGCGTGGTCTAAAATAAGACTTATTTACTATTCAAGTGAAAATCTTGGCGTGATGAAATACAAAAACTCCTTTACCGACGATGAGCCTTATAAAACATTGAGCTTATTAAGAACAAGAACTAGAAATTCTGGAACTACTCGTTTGTTACCAATCTCTGATAAACCATTGGCATACCAGCGAATAAAACACAACATCTGAAAGACATGTTACCTTACGTTGAGGAGAGTAGTCGTCCATATTACCTTCAGTTTCTCAATACTTTGACTACATCACCATCTGCAACGGATAATTTTATTGCAGATGAGGAGTACGATCAAGATGATGAGATGTAATATTACCATTGTAATCCTACTGATTGTGACTATGTTTTTATAAAATAAACATTAATCTCTTCAAATTATTGCAATGTTATTATTCCTTAATTGGGCCAAAGTAACATTTTGGAGTATTTTTTTGTTATTCTAAAAGGGCCAATGTCATATTTCCAATAAAAAAAACAAATGTGGGTCAGTTTTACTGATGCCAAACATTCCAAAATCTATGTAAGAATGACAAGACAAAAAAACAGTGTTGCAATATAAAAAATATTAGCAATAACTGTAGATCATTTTGTATAAGAATCTTCTAAAGCAGTTTCCCAAAAACAGCGTTTTATGACTTTGGCCCTTTTAGAACCAAGCTACTGATATATATATATATACGCTAAGAATATAATTCTTTGGAGGGTAACTTTCGGGAAAGCGTCAAAACAAGGATCAGCTAGAGATGGTATAAGCCAGTTTGGTGTAGAACTTTATTCTAAATGTGAAATTTTTGGTGATAACATGATGCTGATGAAGGTGACAACATATCACCGAAAATTTCACATTTAGAATAAAGTTCTACACCAAACTGGCTTATACCATCTCTAGCTGATCCTTGTTTAGACGCTTTCCCGAAAGTTACCCTCCAAAGAAGTATATATATATATATATATATATATATATATATATATATATATATATAGCAGAGGTTTTATCAGTCAATAACTGGCAAATCAAAGTCGTCAACTACTTCATTGATTTATTCAGATACGTATCGCTTTTATTTTTAAAAGCATCATCAGTTCACTACAAATAAAAAAGATTTTAAAATATGGGTAAACAACCAAAAGGTTTCATACTTACAAAAACAATTTGTAGGTTTTTTTATAGATGTTCGATATATAGATCGCTTATGATAATTTTGTTGTTTGCACAGTATTTTGGCATTCTTGAAATCGATACTGTGTTTAGTTGAGATGGCATGTTGTGCAAAGGTACAAGATTGTTTAGAAATCCTAATGATGCTTTTGTGGGACGTTAGTCGACCTTAAAAAGAGCGGTTGGTTTAGCCAATGTAACAGGAGTTACGCTCTGCACAGGATATATGATAGAAGACATTAGTTTGTTCTAGAGTCCAATGTAGTTTTGAAAAGTTTGGTAAGCTTGTTCGTGATATGTGAGAAGTACGCGAGCGAAGCATATTTTATGATTTGTTTAGGGGTGAAAGGAGAATTATTCACAGTTGGGTGTTTTAGAAATAGACGCCCACAGCTTTCAGAATAAAGAAATTTATTGATCATAGGTGCGGGATAGGAGTTATCTATTAGAATGAACTTCAGTAGATTAAGAGATTCTTCTTTGTACAGAGGGTGTGTCAACTGTCAAGGCGTGACCGTTTTACAAAGGACACCTGGACGGTATGTCCTGTATGTATGACACTGGACAAGACTTTGATCCTCACCTGCAATTTACATATCAATTTGAGGTGGATAACAGTATCCCGTTTTTAGGTATATGAATTATTCGCAAACATGGGAATAGTCATTACCTGATACAGAACGAAAATGGCTAGCAACCGTTTCTTAAATTACCATTTGACACTTCCAATCAGAAACAAACTGAACTTCGTAGAAGCCCTCAGCCTTAGACTACACACATTGACCAACCTCTGTAGAAAGAAGAAACTATTAATCTACTGAAGTCCGTTCTCA